TGCCTTCAAGAAACAGGAGAATTTTCATCACAGTATCATATCCCAACAGGTTTAATTCTTGCTCTCTTTAAAACAACTGTTTTGGTTTTTTTCAACAGGGAAATTTCTTTCTATCAAATACACATTTCACTGTGTTAGAAAGAATTGCTGGTACTGTTGGACTAGACTAGAAAGATCTTCTGACCAATATATGGTGAAGTCTAAGGAGAATATTCAAGTTAAACAATTGGCTTATTGTATTTGCAGTATAGTTGTTTTAATTCCAAGTGCCTCCTTTGGAGAAGTTGCTTCTAGTTAAAATATTGCTTACACATTCCCTCAGCCAATAATTTCTAAAAATTTGCCAAAGCTACTTTGTTTTTATTCACACGGAAGTAATTTGAAGATTTTCCACACCTGTACTCTACTGGACTGAAGGCAACATCAAACCTCTGTTCTCAAAAGGCTAAGAGTAGTGTTGCAAGAAAACCCAAATTCCAAAATAATTCTCTTGAGTCTCTCTATCAAAAAATACTCTTCTTTTGTTAGAATATTCTTCACATGCCAGGTCAGTATCACATTTAGTAAAACACAGTCTGAAGCCTCTAACTCTCATCTTTGCACAATGTTACTTCTGTAGAGGCTAGAAGTCATTACTCTTACATGTGTTTTGTAGGAAACCTCAGGAAGCTAATCTGGGTAGAAACTAATGCACCTCCCCCTTTTTCAGGCATAACCCCTGTACCCCAAAACCAAAAAATTAATTGGTTGATTAATTGAGTTGAAGGTTAGCTCTCAGTGACAACATCTGCTTCAATTAGTTGACAGCCCTAAAGACTCATGACAGATTACTACAAAGTAATACTTTTATGAGCAACTTGAGTTTATTCATACTTAAGCCTTTTGGGCAGCTATGCCTACTGATTAATAGATCTATTTGCAATTATTTCCCTGAACTTCATTCTAACTGGTTATGCAGCTGAAGTGATCTGCAACTTCAACAATCTAGTAAAATTACTTTGTATGTTATATTCTTGGTAACATACCAGAATTTTTTCTGTATTCAAGGAAAGTATAGATTCGCAAGACGATGATCCTCCCATGTCACAATCCGATTCATGGAAGTGCAAAAATGATGAATCTGGGTGAAGAGAGAGAAAATACTTTTAGGAACTCATAGAGTTACATATATGTTCTATTATCACATCTCACATTTCCTCATGTTTGGTCGAACACCTTCCCCACGGGGCATCCCACAGGGCAGAACTTTCATGAAGTATTTTCCGCCCATAGCACTACACCCACACAGCCAGGGAAGCAATAGCTGACATGAAAGCTTTATCTAATTAGTTTTTTCCCTGCTTATGCTTCTGGTTAGAAATAGATTAATAAAAAGAGATGCTAAAAAAGTGGGGCAGAGGCGAAAAAGGAGGAAGCTGGAAGCAAATAAGAGCTTGGGGCAGGCATGTCCTCCTTCAGCGTTATGATTCCATTCTCTCACCCAAAAAGTAACATATAAAATTATCATTACAATCCCAGAGACGGAAATAAATGGAATGGACCATAAAGAGGTAGCGGAAAAGCTGCAGAAAACAGAGGTATAAAGACTGTAAAAAGCTGCCAGAATAATGAACTGTAACTGACCAAACACATACAAAGGTACGCTACTAAGAATGTAATTTCAAAAACCATAAGACTGATTCATTTCTCCTAAAAGTCAAACACAGCTTGTTGGCATAGCAGAGAAAAAGCTTAAGATATCAAAAAAAATAAAGAAGTAACAATAACAATCAACTACACCCCCTCAGATTGATAGACTACAGAAACCACTACTTCCCCTACATGATGCTTTTAATTGCTATTCCAATAAAATTGTTAACTTTTGAATCTTCGGAACCGAAAGCTTCTATCATCTTTAAATATTTCAAGAATAAACAAGAAAAAGCAAATATACAGCATTATCTCCTTGAGACCGTGTCCCAAACACCAAATTTATCATCTCCCTTGATGTTTGTAAATCTAAATTTGATGCCAAGTTTGAAAGGCTGGGGCGCAGGCTGTGCTCTTATATTTTGACTTCTGAAGGTTTGCAGTTAATTAATTCCCTATCTCTCACAAGCACAAAGCTAAAAAAGAAAAGGAAACAGTCTTCTTGTAAAGAGAAGTCAAAACAGCATGTAAAATCATTCCCTGTAAATAGGAACTTGGATCTATGTTGAGCCATAAATGATAACCAGTGGGAGAAGTTTTACAACAAAAGCAAGGGTGGTAAAAAGCAGAAGTTCAAAGTTTAAAGTCAGTCCTGTGAGAACCATGACAAACCACTCATAGTTTCCAAAAAGAGCGTTGCCAGCATGAGGTTTCATCACTGCCCTTTGTTCTCCACATTGGTCAAACACTCCTGCACTATGCCAGCATTATTAACACGTTACTTCTTCCTGTTGGGGCTTCTGATTCAGTAACTTTAGAGTTTTGGCTGCAGACTCAACAAAAAACTTTTGCTTCAGACATCAAAATAAAGAGGTGTAGGCATGGCCTATCTCTGGAATAATTTTCTTCACAACAGCAAGGATTTACTGAAAGAATTTTTTGTAAAGTAGTAGGGAATAAGACAGCCAAGCCACAAGCTTGATACAAGCTACAGCAAGGAAAGGCCCCCTCAAATCTTGCAGTTCTTGGGGCAACAAACTGCTTTACTCGTATGGAGAAATGGATCTGCCTTTGTCTGCCAGTCAGACACAATCAAAACTGAACCACATTAACAACTTCATGAAAATGAAGCTTTCTTCATTTTCAGAAATATCAACCAGAGAAAGTACTTTGGACCTTGTAGTAGGCTACAGGGGAAACTATTTGAGACCAAAAAAATGTCAGCTTCTGTGCAAGTTGTACTAAAACAAAGACCGAGAGCTTAAGGGAATTTTTCAATTAGCAATTCATTTAGTCCTAACACTTAAACAGCAAGGAGTGAATTGGTATACAGCTATTTGAAGGTAAGTATGTTGTTCTGTAAGTAAGGCCTATCTTACTACCAGTACATGCAAGGTACCTGAGATATCCGATGATTCAAGCAGAATTCTTTGTATCAATCCTAGTTACACCAGTTTCTTTAAAGCAACATCCACCATTAAATCAAAATCTAATCTTCCAATTCCACCTCTGAAGGAGTGCCTTGAGTCAATCATTCATGTCAGGTCTAGTAACAGATGTAATCAAGTGCTTTGTCATTTATTAACTTGTAGGGTATACAGATTTTTATCTCAACACTGGGTGAAAGTCTTCTTGTTTTATGCTTAAGATTTAATAATTTGCAGCAACGGTTACCTGAGATAACTTTCAAGATCTGATTTCATGTTCTTGTACTATGGCTCTCAGCCACTGTAGCCACACACCCACAAAAAAAAAAGTGATAAAAGCTAATCAAAGAACTTTATAATGTGAAGACAAAAGCACATACACAAGGGAGGGAAGAATGCAAAAACCCAGGTGCAGGAAACTCATAAGAAGTTATTTCCACAAAGTCTATTATTCAAGTGGAATACACTAGTTTTGTATTAGTTGTTGGGGACCATGGGATTTGCTGATATGAGCACAGGCTGTACGAAATAAAGGGCAGAAAAAAAAATCACAAAACCATGTTGACAGCTAAGATGTCACGACACATCACTGGTTCTTCTCTTATACATAATTTAGTATCACATTCCAAGCAACAGATGGACCTTTTTCTTCATCTGTATTACATACATATTGCAATTCAGACTGGCATCTTTGTATGGCCCATTCACACCACACTCAAGATCAACAATCATAACACATTAAACCACATGATCCAGGTACAAAAGATATTCAAGCAGATAAAAATAGTTTTAACTATGCCTGTATTACAAGACATCAATTTAACCTGAAAAACAGCAGAACATCTGCTACTCGAACTTGTCACTCATAAGAGAAGCATCCAAGTCACCAGTAAAATAGATATAACTGTAGCTGCAATTAAATTGAGCCACATCTCACTGACTGAAACACGGAACTGATATGGTTGGAAGATGAAGATCACCCAGTTCAACCCTCCTGCAAGATCACCTCGAGCAGGTGACACAAGAACACATCCAGGTGGGTTTTGAATGTCTCCAGATAGGGAAAATCCACAAGCTCCTTGGGCAGCCTGCTCCAAGTGCTCTGACACTTTCATACAAAGTGGTTCTTCCTCAAGTTGAACTGCAACTTGTTTTATTTTAGTCTGTGGTCACTGCTCCTCATCCTGTTTCTGGGCATCCCTAAAAAGTCTGGCACCATACTCTTCACACCTGCCTTTGAGATATTTATATACCCTAATGAGATTCCCTCTCAGTCTTCTTTCCTTTAGACTAAACAGGCCCAGCTCCCACAGCCTCTCTTGGTGAAAGACGTTCCAGACCCCTGGAGCCCCTCCAGCAACTCCTTGTACAGAGAAACTCAGCAATATGAGCACGGAGTGCTGGCATATCCCCGTACTACTGAGAGCAGGAATTAAGAAGCAGGCAGAGTCCAGCTGCTGGGTTCGGGAGATGAATGGGCAGCAGGGATCCTGCCGTGTGGTACCTACAGTGCGCCCGTCCCAGGAGTGAGAGGTTTCCCTCGGCTCGCTGCCACAGCCTCTGTGGCTCCGCGCCACGCAAGGCACGGCGGGCTCACCTGCGGGCATCCTCGCGTGAGTCAGCCGAGGGCAGCGGCGCGCACACCGAGGGGCCGCCGGCACCCCGCACCGCCCCGGGCCCCCCACCGGCACCGCCGCCCCCGCGGCCTCGGCACCGCCGCCCCAGGCTGCGGGCGGTCACCGCGGCGACGCCCCTGACTCACCGCACTCGGCCGAGTACTGCTCCGCCCACTCCCCCGCCGGGCCGTGGCGCTGCCGGTGCCGCTCCTGCTGGATCAGGGACAGCGCCGGGTAGCGCTCGGTGAGGGCGAGGGCGGTCCGGGCCAGCAGGGCCAGCAGGGCCAGCGGCACCCACGGACCCGGCGCCAAGCCGCCGGCAGGTGCCATCTTCACGGCGCGCATGTGCGCCGCCTCGGCCGGGAGCACGGGGTGTCCCCGCCGCCCCCCGCCCACAGGGCCGCCGTCGCACTGCCCCTTGGGACATGGAGTTCTCCACCGGCGAGGTCGGGCGTACGGCAGCTGCAGAAAACCACAGCTCCCGGGATGCAGCGCGGCGCGGTCTGGCTCGGCTGCGCTTCCGAACGCGGAAACGAGGAGGCGGTGTGGAAGCGCTGACAGGACTGGGCGTGCTCCCGACTGGGCGCCATGGCGGCGCTCGGCGCCTACCGCTGTATCGAGTGCAACGGGGAGGCGACGGAGCTGTACCGGGACTACCAGCGCGGGGTGCTCCGCATCTCCATCTGCGTGAGTCAGGACGGCGAGCAGTGGGTGGGGGAGGCCAGGAATGCACGTGGGAAGTTCTGACGTCAGCAGGCGGCGGCGCGCGGCACGTGGTAGTGGTCCCGGTGGCACGCGGGCGCCTGAGCCCCTTGTAGCGCCCCCTGCTGCCGGGCTCGGGCCGTGCCCGCGCGTTGTGGCTGTTTTCCCTGAATCCAGGTGTCTTATCAGGAAAGGCTGAGAGAGTTGGGCCTGTTTAGCCTCGAGAGGAGACGACTGAGACGGGGACTCATCAGTGTGTATAAATATCTAAGGGAGGGTGTCATGAGCCAGGGTCTTTTTGGTGGTGCTAAGCAGTAGGACAAGAGGCAATGGATAGATACTGATGCACAGGAAGTTCCACCTGGATATGAGGAAGAACTTCTTCACTGTGCAGGTGACTGAGCACTGGAGCAGATTGTCTTGAGAGGTTGTGGAGTCTCTCTCACTGGAGATGTTCAGGAACCATCTGGACACAACCCTGTGTCAGGTGCTCTAGGATGACGCTGCTTGAGCAGAATGGTTGGACAAGATGACCCCGTGTGGTCTTTTTCAACCTGGCCCATTCTGTGATTCTGCCGGTTTTCTGTCTGCTCTGCTTCCCAGTGTCATTTCTTCCTGTTCCTTGAGTGCACCTGTGTGCTGGAGCTGACCCGACTGGCCTGCCTGTTTCTGTGCAGGGCACTGCAGTGCATTTGCTGCTGTGTGTGCTTGGCCTGGCTCTTGCTGAACGGCAGATCTGAGCGTGGCTCCATGGTTGAACACAGCTCCCGTGCCACTGGACCTGAATGTCAGGTCTTAGTGATGATTATTTAAAGGTACCTGGGGGTTCTGGTCGATGGCAAGTTGGACATGAGCCAGCAGTGCCCTGCAGCCAGGAGGGCCAGCCCTGTCCTGGGGGGCATCAGGGACAGCATCACCAGCCGGGCAAGGGAGGGGATTGTCCTGCTCTGCTCTGCTCTGCACTGGGGCAGCCTCACCTTGAGTCCTTGGGGCAGTTTTGGGCAAAGCAGAGTAAGGAAGACGTAAAGCTATTGCAGAGCATCTAAAGGAGGATTACAAAGCTGATGAAGGATGTAGAGGGGAAACCCTATGAGGAGCAGCTGAGGTCACTTGGCTTATCCAACCTGGAGAAGAGGAGGCTGAGGGGAGACCTCATTGAAATTTACAACTTTCTCTTGCTTATTAATTTAGTGCTGATAAACAGATTTAAGGCAACCTGGGAGCCAGTAGATGGCACTCATTCCCCTTGGCATTTAACCATTTGAGGACCAAAGAACCTGGTCTGTTTGCATGCCACGTAAAATCAAAGACTTAAGTCCTAGTTACTGTATGCATTACAAATGCTAAACTCATATAAAAAGAGTAAAGAACTGAGTAAAAGAAAGAGGAAAGAATCACACTTTCCTAGCAGTTGGGAATTCTGTCCACGTTTCCATGCAGCCCCAGATCCGTACTATTTTTCACTAACTCGTACCAGTCTGTTTCCTCTGGCTGTGTTGTGAGTCATCATGGTTCAGTTTCGGTTCTAGTTGCTCTTACATGGCGTGTGTCATATCATCACAAAACTTTCCCTCAATTTCTGGCCACTCAGGCATTGCTGAGAGCCAGAGACACGTTAGCTCATGGCGCATAAAGTGGAGATGAGAATGTTGAAAGATTGCCAAGATCAAAAGATTCTTTCAGTTGAGCTGATGTGACTTCGGGTTTATCTGCGTACAGCAGGAAAGCCCTCCTGTTGTCTCCAGCTACCAAGGCCCCATGGTTAGAGCAATGCTTGGTTTACTTTTTCTTTTTAATCTGCAAGGATAGTTTTGTCACTGTACCAACTCTCTGCAGGCATTCTATTCCATGCAGGCAAGGCTGTGCTCTGGCCAGAGACCTCTGTTGTTCATCATCATGCTGCTGACAACGAAAAATAGTCAAGTACTGAATGTCCTTTGATATCCTTCACAGACTTTCATGAGTAGTGATATGAGTGTGTCAATGTTATGAATCTTCTTGATAATCAAACCTGAAAATAATGATAGATTAGAAATTTTCACTTAAAAATATATGAAGACCCCACTTATCAGTGTGAAACATAATTTATATCAGTTATGTATAAAACTTAGAGTGTAGACCTCTAAAACCTTAAAGAAAGCTGAAGGTATTTAAGAAAAATTGAAGGTCTGAGGTGAGAGTAGAAGGTGTGATCACTCAGCCTGAGAACATTTTTCATCTGTCTTTGTGGAGTGAGAGCATTGAGTACTACTACTCTGCTGTAGCATTAAGAGAGAAGAAATGAAAAATTCATAGAAAGATTGTATGTTGATACTCAAAGTGAGGCTAATGGGCATCATCTAGATAATTTTTTTTTGTTAAAAACACTTGTGTTTCATTCCCATTTTCAAGTAGTACCTAGAAATACTGACACCTTAAGGAAAAAAAACAGACAACAACCCAACATTTGTTCCATATAGTAAGGAAAACAGAAGGCCCCAGAAAATTGGGAACAAGCAGAACATTGTCAAGATCACTGTTTCATACTGACCTACAGACTTTCCCCAATACTATTTTAAAGTCATCCTTGATACGTTAAGAAATCTGCATCTAAAAGATCTTTGCCATTCTCAGGACAATCCTGTCATTCAGCAATTTTTGGAACATTATCTCAAGGTTGAAGAAGCTAAGTTCTCCCAGCAGCAGCTTCTATTTAGCCCTACATTTATTTTAGGATGTGTTTAACCTGATCTGAATGTGATTTTGAGGTGGAAGATTTCAGTTTGAATGCCTAAGCAAAATACCATGATTTTTTATTCTGTTATTAATTTGTTGAAGAGAAGAATGAATTTTTTCCAGAGGCAAATACTAAAAGCTTCCATTAAGGAACATGTGTTTCCAGCCCACAATATTAGAGTACAATTTTGGAAATTCAGCCTAATGTTGCTTTAGTTTAGTTACCGCTCTTAATATAATTAAAAGTTTCTTTGAACTCCATATTGTAATTTTAATATGGGCAAGCATTAAAGACCTCACAAGTGTTATTATCCACTCTGGGAATAAATTTGTAACAGATGCTGAAGGAACTAAAGAAACTTTCTTCTATAAAACATAGAAGTCCACACAGTACGCTTGGGCTGGAAAGGTCGTGTCTTCTTAATAACTCTGCAAGGTGGCTAACTGCCATAAATTCCTCAAGTTCTGTAACTTCTTTTTAAATCTGTTTTGTTTAATTAAGACCATTTTCAGCTGAAGCCTAGCCCAAACCTCTGGCATTACACATTTAGTGGATGAACCATTTTCTCATCCTGCGTGTACTTTGCTGTGGAAGTAGCATTACAAGAGATAAATGGAGCTCTTCAATATGGTTTTTCTTCAGTGTGATAACTGAGGAGTGACAGGGAAGGGTGTAGAATCTGTGGGCATGTTAGGATTGCCTCCAGTGGAGGTGAGGTTTGGCACTCACTTTGCATCTCCTGGGTCTGGGTTTAGTCCTAATCTGTGCATTACTGATGTGTTCCCTATTCCCAGCGAGAAGCTATGGTGAAGGTAAGCCTAGGTGGCTCCTTGTAGAGAAGGTTTTTGGTAATTATTTTGAGACCCTTAAAATTTAATTGATCTGTTAATAATACAGCAAATCTTCACTGAATATATTACAAACCAACCATTAAGAACAGCAAGGAAAAAATACTGTTCAAACAACACTGCTACTACAGTAATAATTCTGGGGCGTGGGGTGGGAACATGCTTGGCTAACCTGAAATAAACTCTGCAAAGTGCAATGAATACAGAAAGAAATTAGCAAAGTTCAGTTATTCAGAAATAGAAGGAAAAGCATGCAAACATTTTTTTAAATTTGGTTTTCAATTTCATATGTGTTGTTCTGTTTAAAAATAAAATATTAAAAATGTTCCAGACCGTAACAAAGGAAAATAAATTACTTATTGCAATATATAGAGCACAGTCAGGATCTCCCTTGTGTTTAGTAATAAGAACGCCAAATTGCCTGAGCTGTGCACACTTCATTTAGCTTTTTTGCAATTAAAAAATAATTGAAAAGCTCTTTTTTTTTTTTTTTTTTTTTTTTTTTTTTTGCAAGGCAGAGAGACCTTGCTTTGAATGCAAAGCATTTATGTGGTATGGTAAAGAATCTGTCAAGAGTACAAAAATCATCTTGGAAAATAACATATGCTAATTTTACATAACTATTTACAGACCAACTCACTACTGGAAAAACAATATTTTTAATTTGTTTTCTGAAACAGAATGCATCTGAAACTGGACTGTTTTGTTTTTCAGTCTACTGTGACACTTGGCTGCGTCTCTAATAAAGAATCCATTCCTGAAAGCAGCACAGCTAATGTGTTTTATTATTTAAGGGTGCAATTGGGATTAAGGATGCTCTCACAAGAGTCTTTAATTTGCATATGAACCTGTGCAAATGGACCCTGTTCATGTGGAAGTTATGTAAATGTTGTTACTATTTGCTGTATATGTAGTCCAGCAAAAAATTGTAGCTTAATTTTGCCAAACCCCAAACCCTGGAGAAAGGAATACCATAATAAGACTGTTTCATTGATATTTCTAATGCCCAGAGATTTGCAAATGTATTCCTGGTGTGGTTTTCATGGTAGTTTTAGATCAGGGTGAAGCTTTGTTCTTCAGTCTATATTTTTACTTTCTGTCATGTCCTATGGCTTCCTCTTCAATAGTTCTTTACTTTCCACAAACCCCATCCCAAAATATTTTTATCTAAAAATAAGTAATGTTTTAAAATTAGACAGATGAATCCAAAAAAGTCATGTTCATGTACTTTAGAAACTTTATCCTTCAGAGACAGAAGGTGTTTTCTCAAATATTTGTATACTGTATTGTATTGGGCACACATTTGTGAACACTGTTTCCAAGTTGAGTATCTTTGATGAAAAAAGCAAGAGTTATGTCTTTTGAGTAGTGGTTTATAAAAGACTGATAAACATGAAGTTTGAATTAACATATCAGTACTTTTTTTTTGGTCATATTTAATACAACTGGGACTTTAAAATGCATGTTACTTTCCTTAAATGTTTTGGATTGCTTTGATCAAAAAGAATCTCATACACTACACTATGAAGAAGATGGTTGTACTCGCTTTGAAGTTTTCTTTTTCCTTTAATTTGCCTTTGCTAATTGCTTTTAAATTTTTTTAAGATAACTAAGCAAACTTCTAAGTTATGAAAATTGAAGATTTTTTTTAAACAACAGACAAGCATAGTCCTAAATACTTGATTAGTCAAACAGTTCCTAAAGTAATATCCATTTAAATTTGCTAGAATATTTATATACTTTTAATATCCTTTTTCAGGGGAGCACAGTATCTGTTGGACTTCTGTATGTCAGTATCAAATACTCATAATGTTTCTTAAATTTACCAAATCAGATGATGTGTAAATAGAATTTATGGTGTGAAGCTTGACTTTTCTTCTGACACGTAATCTGGAAGTACCTTTTAATCAAAGTAGTGTCTGTTTTTTCAAGAAAAAAATACCAGTTACTTGTTTCTGATGCCAATTACATATTTAATGCAGAAGTTGAAAAATGGCTAAAAGCATAGAGAAATCCAGTTACCTCTTTTTACTGCTTTTGTGATAACTGAAGAACATCTTTGAGAAAGTCCAAAGAACATGAAAAAGCTCAGTTATGTTAAAGATGTGCCTTCTTCACTCATGCTGCCCAGGTCGCTGACTGCAGCTGGGCAGAACAGCAGTGGGGAATGAGACGTGAGCACCAGGACTGGAGTTCCCGCTAAACTGCCTTAACTAAATCTTAAAAGTAAGTGTGCAAGCAGTTCTCCATAGCTGAGCTGCTCATACCAATCTTCTCTCAAAGTGTTAGTGATTATCAGTGTCCCCAAAGTTACTAGCTGAAACTATCTAGTAAAACATATGTGTACTTAAACTGCATCAGTCCTTGCTTGCACTGATTTTGCTGAAGTCAGGCTTTACTCACAGGTTTCCTTCCTAGACATTTGAGGTTGGTGTCAGATGTTTTAGTTGTATAGCTGGAAAAAATAATGAATAGCCAGGTATGAAAAAAAATCTTCCTAGAGGGCATATTAGTTCTGTAGTGTACTAATGGTACAGCAGCCATCATCCACTTAGTCTGTAGCAGTGCACTGTCACCATGACATTTATGAAAAATCCTTTGCTAGGATTTTTTCCCTCCTGAGGAGCTGAGGGCCTCAGGAAAGAAATGTAAACAATAACTATCTGCTGCTGTGGAATGCAACAGGTGCATCTGTGATTGGTGCATGTTGGTTGTTTCTAATTAAGAGCCAATCACAGACGCAGCTGCATTGGACTCTGAGAGTCACACGATTTTGTTATGCTATTCTAGTTCTTTCAAGCCTTCTGATCATTCTTTTCCCTCTGTTCTTTTAGTATAGTTTTTATGTAGTATTTTAATATAATATATATCATAAGATAATAAATCAGCCTTCTGAAATGGAGTCAAGCCTCGTGTCTCCACACATGGGGAGTCCTCAACAGTGCACACACAAGTCTTTTGCAGCAAAGGTGGTTTGTAGGTCTCACAGATCCCTGGGTGAACTCACACTGGCTAGGTCACTGGCTGGGTAAGCACAGAGGACTTTTCCTTCTTGCAACAGAGACTCAGATAGAAATAAAGTGTCTTAGGAATATAAAACATATTAAGAATAGGGTTCCCATCTAGCTCTGGAAGACAGAAATACTAAATTTAACATAATTTTCACAGCTGCAGAGAAGGTTTGGTATTTGAAGCTGTGAGGCAGAAGATGCCACTATTTGTGTGTTCATTTGTAGCAGTCTCCATATATATCTGCAGTAAATTTCTGTATTGTTGGTTTTGCCTGGATGGTTGGTCTGATAAATTTTCATTTTCTAAAATTCAAGTCAGTGAAAATTTTTCAATACCTCTTAACTGCAAATTTTTTGATCAGTGTTTCATTGGGATCCTCCGGTTGAAAATACCATTCTTTACTCAGAAAGACTTTTGGTCCTGATCAGAAAATGTTCTGTTGTAGGAGAATTTGAGAGCATAATAAAACTGGGTGTACATAGGATACCCTTCATCTAACCGTTATGACACCCATTGTGTTGAATAATCTTACTTTGAATGGACTTGTCCAGTGCTTGTGTGAATAAACCTATTAAAAAAATTGCACTTGTCCGATGCTACATGAACCCAGAGATTTGATGTATACAAATTACCACCTATAAAAAGATCTGTTTATGATTTCCCAGTAGAAAGAAATTAAGCAAGACACTGCCTCTAATTAAATAACAGTTTCTTTTTCACTCTGTTAAATCTTATAACTGTGGTCTTGTGTTATGTCCTTTTTCCATCTAATTTACTTTATGTTTAGACTTATCAAACACTTGGTTAGTTGAGGGAGTTTTTCTAATTCATTACTTCTTGTGTATTGCCATACACAGTGTTGTCTTACTGAAGTGAGTTTTTATTGAATGAGGAGTTTTTCCTTAATCTGGACCAAGAAACACTGATTAGAGGTTGCAGCATTCCCTAGACACTCTATTCAGTTTATGCATTTGTTTGGATGCTTTTCTTGACATTGATGTTGGACTTCTGAGTCAATTTGCTGAAATTCCGCATTCTCATATTCTACAAAATAATTGTGTTGAATAGCAAGGCAGTGTTAACTTTAGATGCTGTTCTGGTTTTGTCTGGTTTAATTTTAAGCCTAATAGCTGGTAGAGTGCTGTGTTTTGGATTCAGAATGAGAATAATGTTGATAACACACTGATGTTTTAGTTGTTGCTATTAGTGCACAGGAGCTGGGAGGAAGCACAGCCAGGAGAGCTGACCAGTGGGATACTCCATACCCCATAAAGTGTCCTGCCCAGTAAATGAACTGGGAGAGTTGTCCAGGAAGGGCTGATCACTGCTCAAGAATGGAATGGGCATTGGTCAGTGGATGGTGAGAAATCGTGTTGTGCAGCTCTTGTTTCTCTTGGGCATGATCTCTCTTATTATCTTCCATTTCATTACTATTGTTATTATATTCTGCTTTATTTCAGTTATGAAACTATTCTTTTCACCACCCATGGGTTTTACCTTCTTCTGAGTCTCCTCCTCATCCTATTGCAGGGTGAGTGAGCAGCAGTGTGGCACTTAGTTGGTCTTTGTATGACAGAAAAATGAAAGTTGAAAAACCTGGGAGTTTGTCTGCAGGTGTGTGTTGTCTGATGCTGCATTTTTGACTGTTCCAGCATTTCAGAGAGTGGTGTGCCGACATTTCTCTTCTGGCAGTGCACCACCATGCACTCATTAAAATGGAAATAGAGATAATTTCTGTGACTGTTGCGTTCTCAGCATGGCAGCTAACAAGAAGGCATGGGGGACCAAGATTAGCTGAGGACATCTTGAGGAACCAAGTAGCCAGACCAGAGGATTAGCAGTAGGAGAAGGCTGGCCTGCAGGAGAGCACCCTGCTGCAAGGGCACTTGTTTGAGCAGAAGTGGTGGCTGCTGCTCCTCTGCTGTTCCTCAGCTCTCTGCTAGAAGTTACTTCCCCCTTAGGTGTGCTAGATGAGCCTTTTGAAAGATAATTTAACCCTCCTGCTCACAGTGTAACAGCCTCTTGTTAGCGCTAACTCAAATCAAGGAGTGATCAGCCAGGCAAGTAAGTCAATAAGGCTGGAGGGGATTGATGGCAAGCAGTTCCCAGTGGTTTGGGTGAAATAACCTCTCTAGCAGAACCAGCAGATGTGTTGGAGAAGTGATGGTTTAGTGTCCTGCCACTGTTTAGTGGCAACTGACTCTTTGGCTGTGCGTCTGTGTGAAAACTACATTATCAGTATTCTGAAAGTATTGGGGTTTGCTCAGTGATGGAGAACTGGTTGAAACATCCAGACAATTTAACATACGGAAGAACAATGAAACAGCAAAAAACATTTACTGTCTCCTTGAAAGGAAGAAAAAGGTAGGATAGGAGGATAAAGCATCTCTGAAAATAAAGAAGTGATAGAATAAATTAATTTTCTTTCTAAAAAATACCCAAAATAACACAAATAAAATATGCCAGGTGAGCCATGATCAGTTAACCTTTAGCATGATACCGGTGCATTTCTTGAGACTTAGGAAAGTAGTTTAGTTTTTTAGTATCTGTGGAGCAAAAAATGATAACTAAGGCCATTCCTCCATATTTCATTGTTGATCTTAATCCAAACCCTGTAAAAGTCAATAATAAATCTTTCTATTTTATAAGGGAACTCTGTGTGTCAAGTGTAGTGTTAAGGGAGAAGAAGCAATTTTTCTGGATGGATTAAAACTGTATTGAAAATTAACATGACATTAGGGAAAAACTAATAATAATTGAATTGCTAATTTGTATTTGTCCAGTTGTACTAAGATCAGAGGAAATTTTATAAACTCTTCCTTTCCTTTTTTTTCTCCTAATTCTTTGTGATTTTCAGAAATCCTGCCAGAAACCTGTGGATAAATACATTGAGTATGATCCTGTTATCATCTTGATTAATGCTGTTTTATGCAAAGCACAAGCATACAGGCATATTCTTTTCAACACAAAGATAAATGTAAGTTGCTATGTCCCTACCTTGTAGCTTTTTTTGTTAAAAATATATTTAGGTTTGGTAAGTCTGTTGTATTAGTTATAAAACTTTAAAGACTGTTCATTTCCTGCCCTTCCACAGATTTCAGCAAGCTGAACCAGTTATATAATGAATAGAACACATGGAATCTCAAACTCCCACTGTTACTAAGACAGCTTCTGTCTTCACAGAAGTGATGCTGCAGTACAGCAAATACAAAGTCATCTTACATGTTAAAGAGAAGGAACTGCAAAGAACTGTTCATGCAGTTTTCTACCTAACCTCTAACCTGCCTGTCACATTAATTGATGCTAAAAGGATGATGTGCTAAATTGCACTGTAAGAGAAAGATCTAATTGCAAATTAATTTTCAGATTGAATTTCTGTTAGAAACAATTGTTTTTCAAATGAGCAAAAGGAGTATAACATACCAAATTAACAACACTGTGCCAGTTAAACCTACTGTACTAATTTCTCACAAGTTTCTCCCTGTGTAATTAACCATGCCCTCAAAGCCAGAGCAAAAAATGGTAGCTTTCACTTGAATTGTGGTTGATGCAGAATGACATAGTTGGGCAGCCCAGTCTGGAGTGTAGAGGCACAGTATTTTAGTATTGCATATTTTTACTGTAAGGACTGATTTCCCAGGAGAGGGAAGCTAATCTAGAGCAAAATCTCTAAGTATAAGTATGTGCTGTGTTCATGTTGGTTCCTCTTAGCCAGTTCAGTTTAAGCAGTGTAGATAAATACACTCACTTCATCTTTCAAGAATAAATCTATCTAAATATTTTTAATTAATTCGATGCTTCTGGAGACTGGTAATAATGTTTCCTGTGAGGCTTCTACAAGGACTGTCTGTGAAAAGTTCATCTATTCAAATAAATTGAGTTGAATTTTAAACTGGCAAAGCCTGTGCATGTATGTGCAGTTGGCATAACTTGCCTTCAATGAAAAAAGTAGAATCCAGCACAGAAATTGTTATGGCTTCTTTAAATCTGTATAAAACCAAAAATCACCTCATATATGCACTGGCTTATAGACTGCATAATGTGGAAACATGCTAACTGTTGGCCCTCACAACATAATTTTTGATGTCACTTCAGAAGATATTTTAAACAGTTTTGTTTGGTTATATTGCTCCCTTTATTTTTGGTGCCTCACTCTTATATGAGCTAAGAAATATTTTGGTATAACTACACTACCTGTTTCTTCTAATGGAGATTGTCCCAGGGAAAAAGAGAAACAAGGCTACTTAAACCAGTTTGCTGAATGGAGCAGTTGCCCTTAAACAGAAATTTTAGATAGTATAATTCTATGCTAACAATGGCACAATTTTGGTTTTTCATTCCTATCTGAATAGTCTTCCCAATTTTAAACAGTATGGATCAGGCCTTAACCACAGTTATATACCTTCTTCTGTACAGAACTGGTCATGCAGTTTTGTGCATGTTGTAATTTGACTGTCATGTTAACAGATGTGAAAAGGATGATGTGCTAAATTAGTGGCTCAACAGAAGTAATTTTGCTTATATGCTAAAGAAAAATAACACACCTACAGAGTTTCTGTAGAGGTGTTTAAATGTATTTTAAATGCCAATTTCTTACTAATGCTTTAATTTATGCTGATTTAATACTACTCCTTTTATTATTCTTTCATTTACCAGATTCATGGGAAGCTCTGCGTATTTTGTTTGCTCTGTGAAGCTTATATCAGGTGGTTGCAACTACAGGATTCAAGCCAAAATACAGATCCTGATGACTTAATCAGATATGCCAAAGAATGGGATTTTTATAGAATGTTTGGCATAGCTTCTTTAGGTAAGATTGGTGATTTGTATTATATACTCTTTAAGCATTGAAGAACTTCAAGCCCATACTGTAAGAATTGATACAGAATGGATGTGATGTCCAACCCAGTATAGTTAGACAATTACACACATACTCTCTTAATTTGTCTAAATGTAATGCAAATGCCTGTTCTGATTACAGTTCAGACAGATATGATCAGCATTAGATATGAAGAGACTGAAAAGTGGCAATATTCAGAAATCTTTGCCTGATATCTCTTGGCATAATTTGAAGATCAGTGTAGAGCTCAGCCTTATTCCGTGTTTCTGTTGACTTGAAGGTTTATGATTTATTAAGATGATACAGTCTTACTAAAGTAAACAGTTGGGAAAAGCTGTATCTGCTTGGGGTTGTTTTTTTTTTAAACAAATACACTGAAATACAGATCAGTGTCATCCACAATAAAGAGTAAATTCTTCTGTGCTCTAAGACTGCACTTGAAGGCAGGGGAGTGGTTTTGTTCTATGCTGGTTAAACATTTTTTCTCATACTTTTTCAGATGTGATAGTGTTTTAATCAAACTTGCAGACTAAAACTAGTATTTTTCTTACACATTCAGAGCTTAATTTAAATTCTTTATTGTCTAATGTTGTTTTAAGTAGGTTTTTATAATATGTCAGTAAAAATATTGAACTGATTTTTCAGTAGTGACTCATCCATTACAATTATTGTGGGAGTTTCTTTGACATCTGCATTAATGCCAGCATATCACAGGAGTGATGTCAAAAAGTCTGGTAGCTCAAAGGTATTTTCACCTTGGTGTTCGTTCTTATGCTGGATGAAAAGGGGTCATTGCTGGTGACCTTTTGCAAAGAAGGATTGATTTTGTTTTACAGCCTAACAGACAGTTGAAAAAAACTCCTCTCTTGTTGCTAAAAAGTGAAAGTGAAGAGGTTCTTGTGCTTAACTTCCTCTGCTATATGGAATCAGAAATATTATAATCCTACAGATAGAATCCTGTGATAGAATTATTCTGAACGTCATGATACTGAATTGGTTTAAGGAATATTTGGCTATTAAAATGAACACAGGTTGTATTTGCCTGTGACTTTTAAAAGTGACTCCATTGCATTTTGGACATGTCATTTTACTGAAATTCATTCAGATCTGGACTTGATTTTTGACATTTTATTCTCTCTTTCCAATGCCTCTTATTTCCTTTCAGAACAAATTTCATTTTTTATTGGCATTTTTATTACCTTGTGGTGGATGACACCTGAGATGCTGAAAAGAAAGTCTGACTTCATCTTGCTTCTCAAAGCACTGCTGTTGTCCACCTATGGAAAGCTCCTGCTAATTCCAGCTGTTATTTGGGAGCATGACTACACGCCTTTGTGCCTTGCATTTATAAAAGTGTTTGTCTTGATATCAAACTCTCAGGCAATTAGAGGTACATTTTTGCATTTTATATACTGCATTATGTGTATAGAATATGTGTGAGAGACTGCTGATGTTACAGAAGTCATTATTGTTATCTTTTTAATCTATATCAGATATGTGACTGAAATAGCTCAGTTTAAATCTGTGTTCTTTAAACTTTAATAGAAAGTGATTGAAACAAAAAAAAAAAATTGTAAAAAGGAAGAAAAAAAATACTTCTTATCTCACCATCATCTCTTTGTATATACAGTATTATATCCACCAGATCCATCTGTTTCCACATCCATTCCTGTTACAATTTGAGGCAACTCATGGATCATTGAAACATAAAATAGATTTCTTTTGAGTTTCTGAAAAATGAAAATTTCATATTAATTTTATTCATGTCTTTGGAATGCAGGCTTTTAACAAATTTATGTGATTTCTAATACACAAAAAAATTAATATCAATTCTCATATGATTTCTGTGATCTTCTTAAATGGTGCATGATACATTTGTTCTGGGTTTTTTTTTTTTTTTTGCAGTTACATTGAACTTGAACCGAATTCTCCCTTGGTTTGCCATCTTCTTTGGATTAATTTTGGAAAATGGTGTGGTCTGCTTGTTCCAGAAAATGGAATGGGATGTTTGAAATGTCAGCCCAGTGAAGAAATACCAAAAACAAGATGATAGTTTTCTAAGAATGATCTCTGCCAGCAGGCTTCAAAAGCACTCTTTTCATAGAGATAAAGAAGGTGATAGATAACAAAAAAAATTAGAAGTTTGGCTGTTTACTGTGCTGAGCCATAAAACTTCAGCCTTAGGTTGTTTATTTTCCCATTAAAAATATTAATGTCTCACTATCCTAACAGTTTTATAAATCTGGCTGCGTCACTGTGGCTGTAAGAAGAAAGGTACACTAAAAAAACCCAGCTCTGCTACCAGTCAGTGCATTTTGGCAGAGAGGAGGATGAATTGTTCCCTTAAGAGGAAGGGAGTCAGTGGAAAAATGTAAAAGCCAAAATTTATATTTCCGCAAAACCAGATTTTCAAAGAGAAAAGTGATCATTTGCAAATAGTTTATTAGAGAAAAGGCAAGTATTCCAGAGTGAAACTACAGTGGGAAAACCAAGCTGCATTCTCTGGAATGTTTGTATAACAATCCAAAATAATAAAATATCTAATTCTAGAGTAATCTCTAGGAATGATAGTTTTTAACTGGCTTGAAATTTTAGGTGATCTCATAGATCTCATAAATGCTGCTTTGTTCTGAAAGCTGAAGAGAGAGTGAAAGGACTGACCCCCAATATGCTGGGCTGTTTGGGATACTGCTTCTTCTGCATTTAAATCACATCCCCCACACCCAGTCTTCATCTGGCTGCACATTTAGTGGAAGAAAAAATTGAAACATGAGGCCATTCAGCAACAGAGTAGTAGTTTAAAAATAAACAAACAAACAAAATTGTTTAGGCCTAAATTAATGAAGAAACATGTATAGAAGTTCTGCACCTTCTTCCTCAGCAGGCAAAAGGAGAGCTAAGTGGCCCACAAAGGAACTGACAGAATTAGTTTCCACAAGACAGTAAAAAGGGCACAAACCCACTTTTGTGCAGACCAGTTTCCATTCATTCCATCCAGTATTTAACTCTCCTGCTTGAGTTCTGGAAGGCTGTACTGTCCATAGGGATTACTTCTATTCTTTGTTTTCTTCAGATGCTGTCTCATGTCTGTGTTTTCCAGAATGAATCAAAAAACATTTTGCAACATCTTCAAGTTAATTCCCAACAGGTTTAGAGTAAGTCTAGATTATGACCACAAAAGACATCAAACATGTTTGTCTGATGGAACTGCCCATGCTAGGCAAGTTACTTGATCAGAAAAGAAAATGATTGCTGATTCTCTTTTATTAAATCAAAGGCTCACAGCACTTTTGTTGTTTGTGTAACACTTCACAACTTCCTGAGCATGTCAGAGAAAGCAAGAAACCCCAACTGCAACATTTTTAAGTATGTGAGACTCTTAATTTGATTGGTAATTAATTAATTTCCCCAGGTTGAGTCTGTTTTGTCCATGACAGTAACTGGTGACTAAACTCTCCCCATCCTTATCCCAACGCATGAGCCCTTCCTTCTGTTTTCTCTCCATTGCCTAGCTGGGGAGTGACAGAGCAGCTTGGTGAGCATCTGACATCCAGACTGGCACTGGCAGTGGTTTCAGTCTAGAGGCTGAGTGGAGCCCATTTCAGTGTAACTAATGCAGGTTATTATATGTAAACATGATGTTGTCAGCAGCAAAATTGTAAATACAATATATATAAATTTGATTTGAGGACAGTCTTCTTAAATTAAACTTGATTTTGAAGTTGTAAAAACTGATTTCAGGTATTTTCTGAGGTTTTTTTCAGAACACCTAGAATGGACACGAACACATTGCAAGAAGCAGTGTTTACCTCTCATGTCACATACACTGATAATGTATCAGTTATGCACTCTGTAGTGCTGCCAGGAGCCACCACTGCACTTACACAACTTAGAAGCAAGAGAAGACAATTAAAAGCTACAGAGCTGTGGAACAAAAGCAGGTGTGGTACAGGTTCTCAGTCTTCAGAGCGTCATTAGTAATGTAGAGCATTCAGCACTCTTTGGTGTTAAAGTTACTCCTGTACTGAAACTAAAATGACAAATACACTAATATTTCATAAATCTAGGGGGAGCTTAAGGACACCCACTGCAGGGGAGGGTGGAGCAGATGAGTGCCTTTTTTATGTTTTTGAAAGCATATAGTGTTTCAGAGAAAACCAAGAATATTTTAAGGTTCTGTCTGTTTAAAACAGTCACATCTCTCTTGCTTTTAGTCTTTTTTGTCTTTCGAACTTATCTTTTTTCCATAAACTTTTTGTAATCAAACAGTTACCTCTGCTGGAAGATGGATGGCAAATAGCCCTTTCTATGTATCATAATCTGTTTCATTAAGTTATAGGAGAGGATTTATTTGAGTTAAAAAACCAGCACCCTGGAAGTGAACCTACAGAAACTCCTTTGAGTTTTGCTTGGAATCAGAAGGAGTATTGTGGCCTATGGAGCAAATTCAGAACTGTGTCGCATGAAATGCACAGAAAAACCAGGGGTATTATTGAGACTTGGATTGAGCAAGGGCTCAGTGATTGCGCAGTGGGAGCTGGCAACTCCTGTGGGTCCATAGGCCATGTAGCAAGTATTTAGAAATTAGCATATGCAAAATTGCAAAATTACAGTAAAAGCTAAGGAGGGTTAAAAGAGATCTAGAAGTCTAGCAGACTCCTACAAAATTAAGATGGCAGAAAAAACTAAGGAGATAGCATCTCAAGAAAAATATGTAAGAAAATATGCAGTATAGATGTTTGAGTGTATCATTAAGGAAATATAAAAACATCCTACTACCAAGTTTACAAATGATGAACATGAAAGAAGAGTAGTATTTATTGCAGACATTTTTGTAATAGTTTAAGTGACAACACAACGTAGCATAGTCTTCCAAGCAGTAAAGTCTATGGGTTTCCCTAGAAAAGATACCAGTAACCTCATTACTTCAATGGCTTGCACTACAGCCTTGAAAATACACTTTTATAAGGCAGAATTAGCAATTGTACAGTGATAGAATTAGTCACTGAACAGGAAGAGCTGTGCAACAGCAGAGCTCTTCATTCTGCATTAGTGCGTGCTGCGTTAGGCTTTGCTGGTGCAAGGGCTACCACCCTTGTGCCCTCCTGCACATACAGACAAGGGAACCCTTTCTTCCACACAAGTCCTGTCTCAGAGGCAGATAAGCTGCCTTTTGTTACCCCAGTCTTCACCAAACTGAAAGTAAAGCAGGACATCTGTACTGGGAAACTATTAGCTGATTTCTCATAAAACAAGCAGGCCCTTGTTTCTCAGGGGCTTGCCTGCTTTTGCATTCCTTGAGCACTCCCCAGCTGAGTGGTGTTAAGCACTGCAGTGCCAGCCTGGAGTTGATGAGGAAACCACTGTTGATTTCAAAACTGGAAGGAACATACATACATATGTGTTCTTTGATTTTTTTTTTTTTTAATCACAAATCCAAGATTTTAAAAATGAACATCCATCTTGAGTTTGGAGAAACGTGAGAATGAAATTTGTGATGAAAAACAGATCACAAAATATTTGTTTTGGTGACTTGGTATCAAGGTCAATTCAAGGTACAACCACAAAAGCTATAAAATTCAAATTATTTCAGGATAACATCTCTAAAAAACCTAAATTGTCCCACAAGCTGGGATTATTCTGAATCTTGTTGAGCTCTGCAAAAATTCATGTGGCAAGAGAGAGAATGAATGCATTCCTCCACTGCTAAAATCAATAGGATTTTTCTTTATGAATTAATTTGAAACTCAGGTTTCTGCAGTTAAAATTTGCAGGAAGGTGTATATAACAAGATTCCCATTTTCTCTCCTGCCTCTTAGCTGTTCTGACCTTCTTAGTCTTTCCAGTAATGCTTACTGTATTACTGAGGTGGCAAGAAACAAGATATGAACATAAGGAGCTTCATAAAACCTTGATCTGCTGTCCTCAATTTGTAGAGCTTTTTTTGAGCTCTGTGTAGACAAATGAGAAGTCTGCAAAGCAACTAGGGAATACTGCTAATGATGTTTTAATTGCTTTTCATTAGAATAATAGATATTATTTGGGTTTGTTTGGGTTTTTTATCCTGGTTCAAAATGTGGTTTAAATTCCTTTACATAGAAGCATAAGAGTGTGAACTTAAGAGGTTTTACATGTACTGGCTGCTGCTGAAATAAATCCAGATGATCCCCTTGATTTCTTACAATCTCTGACTGTAATTCTGTGGACATTTTTTAGGCAGAAGAACTGTTTTGCTGTACAGAAGTGCGTGCCATGGCTCTCTGAGCACAGGACTGGGGGCCTGAATTAAGACCTGAATCCTAATCCTGGCACTAAGACCGACCAGTGCTGTGATGTTGAGCAAGTCATAAATGTGGCTCCATAAAATGATTGTATCTCCACCATCACAGGATTTGGGAGAAGGATTAATTTGTTCATGTCTGCTTAGAAAGATGAAAAGCATTAAGTCCTTTCAGCTGCAGGTTGTTAGGAGTCAGTCAACACCACGAATGTCAGATATGAAACAGACATGCCAGGAGCCAGAGAATGTGAATATTAAAGGTGACATGTTTAAAGTCTTTGTTATACTAAGGGGAGCTTTAATTCTGACCCTCGCTGGCATGCGAGTTCTGGAAGATAACGCATCTGAAGATACGCTTTTAGGAGAATGTACAGCAAATCACTAATCCCTTATTATGATTTTGAAGTTATTGCAGCTGTTGTGTGCCAAAATAAACCTGAAATTAGTTTAAAAATTTGGAGCAAAGGGAACTGGCACACTAGGTGATGTTACGTTCAGCTGTTTGAAGAAAAAATAAGGTACTTTATTTGACAGTTTGTGACTTTGAGGTAAAAAGCACTGGTACATTTTGCAGAAAAATATTTCTTAAAAAAGTACTACAAACCATTGGTATCTTTTCAGTAAACGAATTCAATAACATTCCACAGATTTAAACAAGAAAACAAGACTTCAACAACATATAAGCACTTCTACTCACCTTGCACTCCACTCCTTCCTCAGAACTGCTTATTCACTCTGTAAGCATCTGTGAGTGTTACCTTTATAGTGATTCCCTGCCAGGCAAGCTGCAGCCCATCTGATACTGTCATACATGCATCACTCCTTATCTTTGATCCTTTCTTTGGTCTCTCACTTCTCTTCCTGAACAAAGCTTTGGTTCTAACCATCAAAGCCACATATGTATCATGTCTTGGCTACAGTAGAGATAGTCTCTCTTCCTCTCAGTAGGGCTACAGTGTTCTTTTGATCACGGAAAATCAAAAGCCAGCAGAAGTGTAATAACAACTAGGAAGAAAACATTTCCCATTGAGAACATCCACTGGATAATAACATGCCACATACCAGCACAGAAAAAATATCTTGGATTTTGCAGGATAGGGACCAAAAGAGAATGTATTACATTGAGCATACACCTTATAAATTTGTCCAAAGCAAGAATCTGTTTCCCTCTAAGGACATTTGTCCTACTTAGTAGCGTGAAAATGGCAGATGAGTTGCATGACAAGGAAAGCACAATCCATCTCTTACTCATTTTGTCCTGGAAGGGAGCAAAATGAAAATAAAACACTGATGATTCATGAAGAATTTTTTCAGGAATGATGGACATTATTTGAACCCTTTTCTTTAGAGAAGCAAATTAATTTTGCTGTGGACAAACACAATGGCAAGTATTCATTTCTTTACACAACCACATGACAAGACTTAGTTTGTACTAGAACTCTCATCTTTTTAAATGTATTTTGCACTTAAGTGGATTTTTCCCTAAAATAGTTTTCTGCTCAACTGAATTGTGCAATTTATGTAAATGATGTATGTGTGTGTGTGTAGATGGAAGGAGAGGGAAGGTCAAACCTGTTCGTACAGCCTGTGCATTTTCTGCCTTACCTATGTATGAAATGGTGCAGCTTCTGTCTGTTTAGGTCCTACATTGAAAGAAAAGGCCACCCGCAAGAAAGGCACCTTCCTCCCACAACAGTTTGAATATTGTGCAACACAACAGATTGTATCAGTTTAAAAAAAAGTCATGTCCCTGACAAAACAGTATCAGAAGCATGTAGAGATCACGTCTCCCTTCTCTCATTGTTACTCAGCTACTTTTATGTAACAAAATGCCAACATGGTGATTCTAATCTAATTCAGCTGCGCAAGCACTTTGATGGAAAGTTCAGAGAGGTGTTTTTAATCGTCTCCAACACGACCTAATAGAGGATGGCAAAACAGGAAGCCCTCGTGTGCAGATCCTCCCTCACTATAATGGCAGGGTGGAAGGTGCCGTCTGTCATTTCGTGCCATTATATTGGAAAGTGCTGTCTCCTCTAAACTCCTTGCAGCAGCTGCTCCTGAAGGCTCAGCTCTTTGTCCTCAGCAGGCAGCTGCCTCTGCCACCCTCTTGGGAACAGTTTTGTTTTCACAGAATCAGACAGGGCTAGAAGTGATCTCAGAGGTCATCTGGTCCTTCTGCCAGCCGCTGGGATGGATAGGCACTCCTGACAGATGTTCTCCCTGGCAGGCAGAGATTCTGGCTCTCAGAGGCCAAACCTAAGCTGCCTTTCCTAAATTAGGAGATCTATCAGCTCCTACTGCATGTAGTAGCAGTCTGATGCCCAGATGTTTTTCAGCTATGACCATTTATTCAAGCAATATGATTTTGTGAAAATACAAGATTTTACTTGAGGAATCCATTGTGAAGATGGTGGCTTGGTCTTTTAGAAACTTTCTGTCCTTCAACCTTCCAGGTTGCAAACTTCCTGTTCCACTACCCCCTGCTTAGCCTTGCTAAACCAGTTACACGAAAATCCATCACATTCCTTGGCTGCAGGACCACAAAGCATTGAAAATTTAATTTTAAATGAACAAGTCAACCTGCACCTCTTCACATCTACTACAGACTTTTTGTAAGGATATGGGCACTGGGTAACACACCATTAAGCTGAAACAAAAATACAATCAGTGTCTACAAATGAAAGTAATTCAGAGAATGAGAGAATGGGCATGGTGCATTGAGATCCTGATTCTGGAGAATAAATGCCTACAAACTCTCCTGATTTGCAAAAGAAATTGTAGTGTAAATTTTCATTAGTGGGCACACATTTTAGCAGATGCTTTACAAATAAATGTCTGCGGTAATAACGAGATGTGCTTGGCTTCTCTAACACTGATTGATGCATTCTGCCTGTACACACCTGCATTCGAAAGCACAGCAAAGAGTATTATTCTCTATGAGAAGAAGGAACTTTGAAAGCTTCAAACAGTCCTGCATTTGCAACAGAAACAAAGGACTTTTTGAAAGACTGGCTAGTGATAAGTGAAAAGTCCTATTGTGTAACCACACAAAGCACTGGAGACAAGACAAACCTATTTACATATGAGAACCCAGACCTCAAGCAAACCCTGTAAGAAAGAACATGAGACAGGATAAAAGATATGCAAAAACTAGAATTCCTTCTTCCCCACAGAGATTACTGCAAATTTCTTCTTCTCTCATTTATCCTTAAGGGTTAATTCTGTATGCAAGCAACTGTGCAATGATGGTCTCCAAAAATACACTAGAACTCTGGTCATAAATGTCTCTCCTCTTCTAAAAATGCACACAAATTATACATTGAATAGGTGTTATATATTCCATGCTCTCTACAGGTTATATGAATGATGCAAGGTATTTAAGGAAATGCTTCTTCAATTTGAGCATCATGTCTAAGTATCAGTCAGAAAGAGCAAGGTTATTTTAAAGATACAAGATTGTTCATACAGGAAAAAATTCACATAGGAACAGAGCTTTGATATTCTAATGCTATGAGAAATTAATTTTCTCTCTGATTTTATATACTATTTTTTTCAGCTGATTCTGACAAAATGTCCTTCCCCTATACCAAACTATTTTAATATTTTAGTTGTTTATCTTTAGTGCAACATAGCATATAAGAAGTAATTTTATTCCACAATACAGCCTTTGATGTCGTTTAGGAGTAATGGAACAGGTTAAAATGTGGTCCTGTTTAAGCCTGTATTTTACCTTTTCAAAATTTCACTTGTTAGCTCACCTCTGCAGACAATGTTTGAATTTTCCATTGTCCATGAGGCCTTTCAGTACAAATAATTAGTGCTTCGTTAAAATTAAGATTCAGGTAACCAAAGATACTGTAAAGAGTTGAGAGAGAAAAAAAAAACCAACAAAATGTACTGTCCCTGTCATCCAGGTGCTTTCATAACTGAAGAAACTACCTTATTACACTGCCTGCTTGTAAATGATTTAAGAGGTTCTGCTGTTTGACGAGTCAGAAGAGTTTAAGCAAGAGCTGGTAGGGCTCAGACAGGAAACTTTATTGTTTGTGACAGTGCCTGGTATCCTGAGCCAAAAGGAGCTCACAAACTCTTACTCATGTGTCTACCCAGAGAATCACAGGGACATTTCTGACCGGTGGAAGAAATGCTTGTGATTTCTGAAAGTGAGTAGTTAGCGCTGCAAGGAGGATTGAACTGTTAACATGAATTTAAGGCAGTGTTTTGACATAGAACTGAACTCTCTATGTGCCAACAATTCCAAACAATCTGCTTCAGCCACTAAATTCTAACAATCCATTATTTTCATGGGATTTCTCCTCTCACATTAAACTGAGAAATTCTGAAAGATTACATTCTCTTGAAGACATTATCTTAATAAAGTCAGCACAAGTGCATTTAAAATCTGTGGCAAAAGTTCAGAGAAGAGCCAAAATAGTCACAACTCTGTGTATTTCAGTAGCAGATGGCTTTGTCTTTTCAACTTGCATACCAACCTTACCTGAAAAATGTAAATTCTACTGCTAAAAGCACATTCCTCTGAAATCATATGTGGGTTTAGGGCTTACTTAGGGCTGGTTGTTTCCACATTCATTTAATTAAGTTTTGTGAATAGAACAGATGAAAGAGAAGGGGCCAAAAACCTAAGGGAAAGAGACTTTTGCAGTGAATCTTCATCCCCTCCGAAGTTCTTCTGTCATTTAAAACCAAATAGCCAAACTCACTGCTGAGTGAGTCATCTCAGTGAGAACCCCTAGCTAATCCTCTTCATTCCTTACAAGATGCATTTGCCCCACAAACTGCAGGTGCCAGTCCAGCACACACCCAGCCCAACCTAGGTTTTAATCCCTAGAGCACATCTGGGCTCTGTGTGGCCATCTCAGCTCAGGAGAGT